CGAACCATAATCCAGTCACAAGATTTACTACAGTTTACAACCAAAGTGTCTGATCATGTTCAACCTACCAGAAGCAGTCACCTACAATTACTGGTAGGACAAACAAGATAGGTCAAAAGATGTGTGTGTGCTGCAGAATCGGAAGATTCAGCAGATGTGAATTATTCAAATATATTAGAAAAACAGCTTCATGGCAGTGTCACAAACTACTATGTTAATCCTATCAAATAAAATTTCAGTGCACACATATTTTGTAGCTACAATTAGTTATACAGACCAAAGCATTTTAAGATTATGGACAATAAGACTGTGCTAAATGTATAAAGTTTATTAGATTTGGCTTTTTTTTTTTTTACTTTCCTATTTGCGAACTTGAATCAGCACATTGTCATTGCAATTCTATACATTGCTTATAGAGACTGGATACACTATAGCTGGAAACAAAGAAAACAAGTGCATCTAGATGTTGTTTGTCACAGTTGAATAGTGCACATTGTCTTCATACTGACACAGCTATTTTCTCATTTGCAAGGCCATTCCAAGTGTTATATACAAAGCACAATTTAGTAAGATAGTGTCTTTTTTCTAAAGATTATCTGTTCCTTAAGTCAGCTCTGAAATGGGGAAAAAAAGGCATGAAGATATGCAAATATTTCCAACAAGATTTTAAGTCTTCAGGAGCAAATGTTGCAGATGAAAATGAAAATAATACAACGCATATATTTATTGGTCAGAGATGGGATGAAATATTTCCCCAGATTTGGATAAAAATAAAGATGTGTTGATAATTATGGCTGTGGGCAGGAAGGATCTTCATAGTAGTCTGTATTGCAGTGACTCTGAAGAAGCCTAAGAGAAACTGCAATTAACAATATTAAATTGCTATCTAAAATGGCAATTGAATCAAATTATATGCTGTTTTAGGTTGTAGACGACAAACTCTCTTACTTTGTTTTTCATAAATAAGGTCAGTTATTATCATCTCTGTTCAACTGATAGGTGCTTCTTTATGATGACATAGTTCTACTTTCGCTGTGATCCGATAACAGCGAAAAATTAGTAAAGTTTTATCATTGAACGTCCCTTGTTACAATTCTCACCTCACCAAAACCTTATAAAAAAGACTATCACTTTATTTCCTCATGCTTAAGATCAGTTTTAAGTGCGATAATACTTGACATTAATGTTTCCAGCCTTCTGGACTCTCACCTGCCCACTTTCCCAGTTTGTTGGGGGAGATCAGTCTTCCGTTGCCCAACACCCACACCCTGAAGGCGGAAAGTAGCCGATAGACGGAGCACACGGACAGCCAGGCCGCGGTTAGAGCACCCAGCCAGAACAGCGGCGCTTCTACGCCTTTAAGCATGGCTTCTCCGCTGAAAGACATAACCGCACCAGTCCCTCCTCTGTCTCTTCTCTGTGGTGACACTGACACCTGGACTTCTAACCTCTTTATTAATAAAACAGCAGCTGCTCAAAGTGCAACAGGGAATCCAAGCTTAGACGCCCGTGTCAGATGCTTCCTCATCTGTGTTTCGCTGCTTCTGATTGGATCCTTCTTCTTCTTCTTCTTTTGTACGTTTCTTAGCAACAGTGAAAAACCGAAGCAATATCACCACCTACCGTTGAGCAACATGTAAAGAATTCAAAATGTTCGATGATCGATAACTGGTCCATTCTTTTTTTCTCTGGAAATAAACACATTTTTGTGATGCAGACATTTTACTTGAGTTATAGTTTTATTTTATAAATCTGGCTACATCTTTTCACTTGTGCACTGTTTTGAGGACGTAATTTTAAAGCAAGCTTATTTTATTTATTTACAGACTGCATATAAACACCCAATTTATCATTTACGTAACTCTACAGCTTTGCATCTGTATGCCTTTTTATTTTATTTATTTATTTATTTATTTTTATTTATTTATTTTTTGTGTCTTTTTGTTTTTGTTTTTTTATCACTATATTTATACTCATAAATCTTTAAAATATATGGTGTCATTTCAGGAGAACCCCGTTTTAAATATATACGTCCAAAAAACACAACATGTTAAAAAAATATTAGTCAGTACAGTTTATAACCACTTAACTAAAAACCCTAAATCAATTAACTAAAACACACTCTTACACTTAATACCTTGCAAACTCTTTTTTTTTCTATGTGGTCTTTGCACTTGCCATCTAATTTCTTTTTATATCTCAAGATAGTTTTAAAAAGTATCATAATTCTTAAGTACTCTATTGTATTTAATAGTACATATTTAGTTCTTATTTATTTTTTGTCATTTTTTTATTTCACAGCTGATTTGCAACAATTGATTTCAACTACATCTTTATAGTCATTGATTTTATAGAATTTTAAGTGAACTGTACGATCAAATCTACAAGTTATGTGGTGGTGAATGTGAAGATAAGGTCTGTATATTTTATATTTAAAAGCAATATTACAAATTTGCTTATTTGTCTACCTCTTTGTTTAAAGATGTATGAAATTGAATATGCAATATCCAATTTCACCAACATGAAATAAATCATGTTGGTATGAACATGATTTATATCTTGCATGATTTTTGTACTAGATTTATCATGTTAAAAAAACAGTTAAAAAATTGAAAACTGAAAGATATAACTCTATACATAATAAAATGAAATAGCCGATGTTCACTCTGATTGTATTTTATAAATTATTGATTGTGTCGAAATTATATTTTTCATCTCAAATGCCGATCATTGATTTCACTCACTTGTGTTATTTGACTACTATTTTATACAATACTGTTTAATTTTTCACTTTCTTGAGGTTTTAGTGCTTTCATGCATCTGTGGGTTATATTGCTAGATTTGTCGATTAACATTTTAGAAAACCTTGTTCCCTTGTTATAAAATAAACCTTAAGTCATCAATGGAGCTAAAAAAAATCACAAGGACACAATGTGAATAGGTTTAAAACTTTATGAATGTTAACCCAACTCCTTCATGTTTGAAAAAACATATAATTATGTCCAAGTTAGTGTATACACACACACACACACACACACACACACACACACACACACACACACACACATGAATAACATAATTCAGTCAAGTGGAGCAGACATCAGTGGTCTATAACGTTAGTGTGAGCGTTACATAAGCGCGTTGCTACTAAAAATAGAAATGCACCAATTGTAAACATGGGTCTAAACTGATGGCTGTGGACTTTCAAAGGAACCTGAATGAAATTTAAATCAGAGCATTGTCTTGGTCGCAGATGGACCGGCAGCTGATCCTTACTGTGAATGCCCCCAGGCAAGTCTTGTGAGTCTGCTGCTCATGCTTCAGTGAGTGAGTGTGTTGTAGGTGAATGAGGAGTGTTGATTTCAACTTGTTGCATTGATTGGTTCATGAAAAATGTGCCAAGCTTGTTAATACATTTGTACTTAAAATGTCTGTACAGTAAAACAATGCTGCAGGCCAATGATCATATATTCTTATTTTACTGGGCTTTCCTTTTATTTTATGCGTATTAAACTGTACTTTTTTGTTCAGTTCCTTTGCAGGCTTACAATGACAATAATAAACTCATGTTTTTGTATACTCTTTAAGTTGAGTTGCTCCTAGTAACTCAACTTAGAACAAAATCAATAAAATAAACATAATTTCCTCTAGCTTTCATTTACATCTTCACAGTAGTAATCACAAAAGCAAATGAGGATATTATATTTCCTAAATTAGTGTAAAATGTTCATGTTGATCTGTATGTCCTTCTGTTTTTTTTTTTTTTATTATTATTTTTCAGAATTCACGTGAAGAGTTAGCAGCGTTTAATCTATATTACTTGGGCATTGATACATTAGTAAAGTTGAAAAAGTGATCTCACCAATAATACAAAAGTTTAAAACATATATATATATATATATATATATATATATATATATATATATATATATATATATATATATATATATATATATATATATATATATATATATATATATATATATATATATATATATACACATATATATTTTTTTTAATAATGATGCAATCTATACACAACTGCACACACCTAATTAATAGCCATAATAATAATAGTAAAAAGAATAAAATAAAAAAAAGCAGAGTGAAATATGAAAACACAAATAAGGGTGTTTTCACTGTTTGATTGAAAACACAGGGGTAAATACATTTACCATACATGTAGATCTTAAAACAAAGATGGGCATTCACATAACCACTGACATATCAGTTTCATCTCACCAACCTTATTGGAGATAAAAAAAAATAAGATTCATACTGCAACTACTTTCCAATGAGCCCAAAAGAATGAGATTTTTTTTTTTATTCAGTTTGATACATGCTGGTCTTTGGTGACAGTACCACGTCACATCTTTGTGGGAGCTTAAAACAGCATTCCCATTAACTGTGCAACAGAATGTCTTTCCACCTAGAACAAATTCATCCAGCCATCTACCCATTCATCCATTCATCCATCCATCCATCCATTTTATACCCCTGCTTATTCTTGCAGGTTCGCTGAGGTAGGGGTGGCCTATCTCTAGTGGTTCATGGGTGAGAGCTGTGTCACACCCTGGTCAGACTGTCAGTCTGTCATAGACATGCACGACACACATTCACTCCTGAGGGCAGTTTAGAGAGACCAATTGGACACATGCATGCATGGGTTCAATCAATTTAGACTGCTGCTTGTAAATAACTATGATTATCAGAATGTCTCCCATCCAGATACATGTACACTCCTAGTACCGTCAAACTACTTCTAATTAAATCCAAGCTCATACTGTGTACAGAAATAAAGAATTAAATAATGAAAGAGAAAGAAAAAGATTGGATAGTGTCAAAGATTATCACAGTCATCACACTTAATGTTGATTCATAGTTCTTGTTTTTATTTATGAAGAGTTAAAACACATTCTGATGGATTTTCTCATGAGAAAGGAGCATAATGAAAATACATTTTAACCCTGCAAAAAAAACCCAATAAGAATAAAAAAACATTGTCAGCTTCTAAACATTGTTTATTTCAAGAGACACAAGTTTTAAGTCCATTTAAATTGTCACATGATAAAAAAATACTTTAATTCCCTGCTTTTTAAAGGGATTGTGATCGATGTGCACACGCTGATGTGTATGAGATGAAAAATTGCAAAGAAAGGGATGAATCACAAACATGACACTCCTTAGTTTGTGAGCAATTGGATAAATTTGACCATTTCTAAAATAAAGTGAGAGGGGAGTTTAATGCCCATGCTCCTCAACATGGGTAAAATATCAGTCTCATAGCTATTTAAAGGAGCTTTAAGATTAATGAACAGTTCAGTCACTTATGTCAGCGGTATATTAAAAATCATGTGCAAAATTTGTTAGAGGAATAAAGAAAACATTCAGATTTGTACAACAATCAAATGTAGAAATTGTTCAGTGCTAAACCTCAAACCACATTAAACCAGATTTAAGGTTTGTACAGGTGACTTAAAAAATATATATTTTGTATCGAGAGTTTAATAAAAGATGCGGTAATGTGGGAAAGGTAATAAATAACAAGAACATAAAAAGTTAAATCATTTGCTTTGTCATAGAATTTTTTGTACTTACATCATTGATTGCGAGATAGAAAAAAACTCTTGATGTCTTAATAGACTCAGTTAAAGTGTAGTTTAGAGATGAGAAGGCAGACATTCTTGAACATTTTAGGAAAGTAAAAACAGAATATGATGCAAATTTTTGTTTACATTTTTTACTTGATTTCCCACTCACTGAAGAGTCCACTTGCTGACCTAGATGTTGTTTGGTCACTGCTGCTGTCTCCAGGTGTTGTGTGCTGTATTTGCATGTGAAGTGGGGAGCCTAGGAGTTAGTGGTAAAAAAAAAAAAATTAGAAAGTAAACACAACATGAGGGAGCAGAAACAGTAAAAATGAAATTTCCTTTGCTGCGTCAAACTGAAAAATTATTTAAAAACATGCACACACTGGTGTGACGGAGGATATAAGAAGAACACGGATAGATTCAAAAAGAAATAAACATACAAATAACTTCTATTTTCAGATTAAGTGTATGTAATAATACATGTGATAAATTGCACATGAAAAGTGAGTTGAAAAAGAAAGCAATTTGGTATTTGTATAGATGTATCAAAATTAAAAAATCAAAATATAGATAGATAGATAGATAGATAGATAGATAGATAGATAGATAGATAGATAGATAGATAGATAGATAGATAGATAGATAGATAGATAGATAGATAGATAGATAGATAGATAGATAGATAGATAGATAGATAGATAGATAGATATATAGATAGATAGATAGATAGATAGATAGATAGATAGATAGATAGATAGATAGATAGATAGATAGATAGATAGATAGATAGATAGATAGATAGATAGATAGATGTGATCAAAATAAAATAAAAAATAAACATGTGTCCAAAAAATACATTATTCTCTATTTCACAACTGTTTTAAAATCCAGATATTTTTTCTTAAATTTCTTTATTTTTTTGTCCCTTTGCACAGCTAAGCAACATTTTGCGTAATTGTGCAAACTGCTGAAGAGTGAACTGTGCATAAAAAATGTGTGCATCTTCGTGTTTGCCTTTTCCTCCTTCACTAGATGCAGAGACATAATAGTTGCATTTAAGTATCTAACAAAAACATCTAGCTATTACATTCAAACAGTGCCTGTGTGTGCGGAAGCACTTTGAGGGTCCAGCTCTCGTTGTTACAACACACCAGAGAGCCCGTTTTGACAGCAGCAGTGTGACTCCTCCATCCAAAACAACACGAGCGACGTTAACGTCCTCCACGAATGCTTTTTGGGGTAAGGGCTTCCCGGATTCATGTATGCACAGCAAGCCCAGACCGCAAAAAGATTCGTGACGGACAGCTGCTATAAATCACAGTGAATCTCCAGTCCACGACTGCCCGGGGTCTTCATCCTCAAACTGTTTTCAGCTTTTGCACTGTCGTTTGACTTGTTCATTGACTGAATTGTATCTAATCTGAACACTCGTCTAACTGGTAATGGCTTTGCAGCAACACGCAGCCTTGTTATTAAAAAGAGCGGCGATGAAGAGAGGCGGTATCTTATCGCCGTTATGGACTTTAACACGCAGCAGAGGAATGCTTGTGGTCTGATTGGACAGGGTACCCAGTCATCCACCAATGGGGATGCAAAGAAAAAGAGCACCTAAAAGCAGGAGGCCAAAGCACCTGACAGTTTCTTGACTACCTCTGCTCTCATGGACATCAGAGCGGTTTAAAACAATCAGGCTGCAGCTGAAAACCCACCACTTTCATCTCGATCAGATGTGTGGATCCAAACCGGGCGTGTTACCCAGAGCGCATTCATCTTAAATAAACATAAAGTTTGATTCCATTATTTGCAAAGGGTTAATTTTGGCTCCAAATCACCAGCTGCTGATGTAGGGGCCCCACCCTCGCCTCGTTTTCATTGGGCCGCCCAGTCTTTCAGTCGAGGACGCGTCTCCCCAGCCTGTCACGATTCTCCCCATCTGTCTCGAGCGCACCGGAGCCAGACGCCACTGACGCAGCACGCGCCTTACTCACTTTTAGCAGTCACGACTCGAGGCTCATCGTGCACAAAAGGGAGGAGAGGTGAAAAAAGGAAAGAAAGAAAAAAAACAATTCTGCAAACGGATTAAAATTCTAAATGCAGCATTCGGTGTGAGGCGTCGAACTCCTCTTCCTTCAGCTTAAGCATAAAAAAAATTAAATCATGTTTATTCACACAGCGGTAATGCGTGAAGATCAAAACCCATCAAAAAGCATAAAACTCTGGTGCATCAAACTAAGCAGAGCTGCCCATGGCGGTATTCGTAGTTGCACTGGGTGTAAACCAGCAAGCACTACCTGAACCGTTTCAGCACCGCTAGAAGGACAGCTCCCTCCGCACTGTCTGAGAACCATTCAACAAATCTCAGAATGAGGATCACTGGGTAACAACAGCAAGACTCATGCTGACAATCCATCTCTCATAAACAGCGAGAAGACTAATTTGCCTATTTTAATAACAGTGTCTGAGGGTGATCCCCGTGTAGCTTAAGCACACACCGGTTGATGTTGATTCCAGCAAGCTGCAGAAGTAGCAGCAATTCTTCCGGAAAAAAACTCCCCTTAAATGCTATTTGTTCCAAACAGGCGTCCCATTCTAATCAAAGAGTTGCAATGCTCACAATTGTACGTAAAAAAGAACAACAGGGAATAATACTGACGCAGAATACTGGGATAAAAAGGAAACAGGTGCATTCAGAAAAAGGTTAGAACAACTCACCGTTGTAGCTGCAGAGATTCTGATAAAAGCGCGGAAAGAAGCTTTTAAAAAATGGACTAAACACCCTATTTGTCCATTAAATCTGCTCCGGCTTTTCTCTTCTCTCACTGTACTCTTGAATGGTATGCCTTTTATAGGAGTGATGCCCCCTATCTATTTCTGGATCACGATCCAACCCCGTTTCTATTTTTAGCTCGCGCGTGATGAAAAAAGAAAAGCTTGCAGAGGTTCCTTGGAGGAATTTCGAGCGTGCGGCGTTTGAGAGCGAGCGCGAGCCTTGTTTGCACGGTGGGCTGCACGCACGCACGCACGCGCAAGCCCACCCGCATATTTTCCACTATATAGTGATCAATGATTTCCACAAGGAAATACAAACAGGAGTTAATAATGTGCAAAATTTGACGCCTAAAAAAAGAAAAAAGACAAATTATGATTTGTCGCTGGATGCACGCGCATGGATGCGCCTGCATCCATGCGCGCAGAGACGCACCCACCCCGTGGAATGGAAAAAAAATATATATATGGCGAAAATAGTCTAACGAAGCTATAATTGTAGAGCTTGGTGGTGGATAATTGGGTGTCCTTTTTTATTTTTAACGCCTAAACAAATGGATAACTAAAACAGACTTCCTTCTGCTGCGGGTTGCGTCAGTCACACAGGCATTGACGTCAGGTAGAGAATCTCCCACTTTGAAGGTGGAAGCAAAGCCTGCTTTTGCCTTTAATGTGAATAAACACCATCGAGGGCCAAATTAGCCAGTAAAAATGCAAAGGAGTAGAGGATGAGCCAAAAGACCAGCACACCCCATATAGACCGAACTGGCCGCGGTTCGGTGACTCTAAAACGTCTGTTGTATTTCACATAGAGCATCAGGAGCAAAATGGTGAGTAATGTGAGAATGGACTCGTATAACGACTGCAAATATGCTTATAATAGACTTCAGGTTGGGTTTACTCCTTCGAAACAACCACAAGTGGCCCTCCGACTGATAATGCGGAGCAGCACAAAAAGGTGGAGGGTTGCCGCGGTCTCAGTCCTGCAGACTCCCCCCCTGCATAGGGCAGAATGCTGAAACGCGTAGTAACGGAGCGGCGCTTGGCCGACCGATGATGCTATTTTTAACTCCCATACTCAACACGCCTGGTGCTGCGGGTTTCTCTGCTCAAGGTGTTACTGTACTGGAAGCGGGATATTAACCCACGGCTGCTTTCATCGGACAAATTGCAGCCTTTCCAGAATAAAAATAGAAATTAAATTCAAATCCTCCAATATTTTCTGTATTCTTTTTTTTTTTTTTAAACCGTGTCTCTTTAAGAATGGAGACACGGTCTCATTCATTAAAGCTGCAACCTGCAGGATTTTCATGGCATTGCATTTGCAGGAGAGTGAACTTTTGCTTCTTTTTCTGTCTTATTAACATGTCTTTTGATTACACTGCAGCGATGTTCATTCTTGTCTCTTAATAGGCATTCAGATGTTTAAAAAAAAAAAACATTATTCAGAATGCTGACCCACTCATAATATTTGCAATACAGTGACACTTGATGTGATGAGTAGCTTTTTCTTTTCACAAAGAAACTGAGATTATAAATATTATTTATAATCTCAAAGAAGCTACCTCTTCCTTGAAGAGGTAGCTTGCACGGTGGGCTGCACTGTGGGAAGACTTACTTTAACCTAAATAGTGTTACTGTGCGCCTAGATCTGGTGCATTTTTGGTTAAAACATAATTGATCTGATTCAGTGATTTACAGTTTTTCCACTTATTTAGTCAGAAAAAAAAACGTTCTGAGCTTTTAAATATTCAATAAATGATTGTAATCAAATAATATAAGTATTACTTGAAAATATTACTTGATTAAAAGTAAAAAAGAAAATGTGATGCTGTATAACCATGCTGAGAAATAACTTTTTCTAAAATAACTGAAGTAGATGCAACAGAATAAATGTTGCTATATGGCTGATTGCTTTATATAAAAGCATAATGAAAACAATTACATCTATACTAGGCATTAATATCATGTACATTGTATTCCCTTTGAACTTTAGCCCTTCTGTGGAGAAAGGCCCAAGAAGTTTGATAGAAAACTACAATAAACATCATTATTAAGACCCATTGACCCAGCAAATCGGTCATGGATCATTTTTGGAGACACTTAAAGCAAAGCTAAGAGATTAAACATTACACAAAAGGTTTAAACACTTTACAAACCACTATTCAATCTTAAATGCAACAATGGGAATAGTGTAGTACAACTACAAACCTACCAAAACATGGCTGTCCACCTAAAATGACAGGCCTGGCAACGAGAACATCTGGTGGAATAGCAGCCATGATAACTCATGAGTAGTTGCAGAGATCTACAACTCAGGGAGAACAGGTGGGGAAGATAACTGTTAGTCATGAACTTAGTTCCAGCTATCATGGAAGAGTGGTAAAAAGAAAGTCAATTTAAAAAGAATTGACTTTGATATGCTGCACATGGCACATGCTTGCTGTGCCATGTGCAGCAAGCATGACACAGCATGTGAAGAAAGAAGTTCTGGTCTCTGCATGAAACCAGCATGCAGACAATACTTAACCACACACTGTTCAGTCTGAAACATGGTGATGACAGCATCATGCTGTGGGGATGGGTTTCTTCTGCCATTAGATGGAAGCTGGTCAGAATTGATTTGAAGATAGTTGAAGTCACATCCAGAGCAAACCTGGAAGAAAACATGTCCTTAACTTGAGACTAGTGGAGAGGTTAAGATTCCAGCACATCACATCTGTATGACTTAGATAGTAGACTATGTAATTAGAAGCATTTGATTATTAACAATTCACAGGTGATATTTTCTCATTGGATTACACAGATTAAAGCTAAGGACATTTATGGATTCAGTGGCACCATAAATGTCCTTAGCTTTAATCTGTGTTGTCATAAATATTAGGTAAGATTTAAATAATGTTTTTCTCCCAACTTATTCATATTAAAAATCTGAGAAAATAGAAGGATTGTGAAGTATAAGGGTCTCACTGGTGAGCTATCCATGGTGCTGAAGAGCTGTTCAGATTGGAGTTTAGGATGATGTGCACAAGGCTGCAAGATGTTTGTAGAACTCAAATAAAAAAAAAATTAATAAACAATCCTTTTGAGATGTTTTTTTTCTTCTTTTTTTAAGGAAAAGCATTCAATTTCCTTGTTCCTAATCTTTATGATAAACATGCCATCTAATGGCATGTTAATATGTTTGTATATTCTTTATAAATACACTGACTGAAACATGACATTAGTTCATTAGACATTAAATGAACTTATGATAAATATGTGTTGCTTTCCTGCACTACTTAGCTTTAGTAGAAGGGAGAAGAAAGTCCTTGCTGTAAGAAATTCAACAATAAATGCCAATGGATATTTTGTTGCACCATAAACTATTTTTAAAAACAAAGCAAAACCCACAGAATCCATGGTGGATACATGCATCCATGAATTTATTTACTTACTTCTTGCAGAGTTCTCAGGGACCTGGTGTCTATTGTCAGCAGCCAATAGGCGAGACGTGAGGTACACTTTGGTGACTTAGATACAACCTGACAACATTACAGACATTTCATAACTAAGCACAGTACCAAGAATTTTAAATAGGATCTTTGACCAATTAGTTTCTCATCATGAGTCACAAAGAAAAATGTTTTGTAGGTATGATTTTGCAACTTTGCATTCTCCATTGACCCCACCAGGATATTCCTTTATATCTCCATAATCTCTATGAGGGCTTCTTCTGTGATTCCATGTTATAGTTTACTGTCCAAAAACAAACTCTTTTCCTTTTTTTCTTTTTGGTGCATGAGTAAAACTTGAAACAAGGTTCCTGCTGTTTTGTTATGAAGTACATGTAATCTGTTGTTCAAGAGTTTGCTTTATTTGGAAGTATGAAAAGTCAAAATGTTAACCAAATAAAATAAAGAAGCCCATTCCAGTAATCCACAGTGGAGAGATGGGATACACCTTGAACAGTTCAATAGATTATCAATAGGTGAAGATAGACAAATCATACAATCTGAGTAATACTGCAATTAAATATTTATTTATGGCCAAGATAGGTAGATTGTTGCTCAACTAATAAACTGTAAAATATTACTGAATTGTAGACAAGTAATTGAATTGATGAGAATTGTCTGAGATTTCTAGTGAACACATAAAATGGAATCTGAAACAAAGATTCAGCCTGTGTTTGAAATCTTAATGCTCTTTATCTCAGTGCCTTTAAAAATAGTCTTTCATGTCCATGTAGGGAACTCACAATTATTACATAATGTCTTGCATCACTTTCATTCAGTGTTTCTAAAATAACCCATGCTGAGCTAAATTTACTCTTCTTGCATACGCTGAGCAAATTCCAACATGCCTATGAGCATCAAAAGTTTACTATAACGACAAATGACTGAAAAGTCAAAAGCTACCACATTTGAGAATCTATAAAGCTGATTTATTAGGAAGTGAATGCAGCATTCTTCTGTCTGCAAAGTGTAATGAATATTTATATATACTAAATCCCAAATAGTATTTTTTCAGTGAATCTATTTCACTTGTTACTAACATACAAATGCAAAAAAAATAATAATAATAATTTTGGTGAACTCTAATAAATAGCTCATCTTTTGAAAAATAAGAGCATTTTCTTGTGTTTATTTAAAAGTACAAGCTGTATAAATTGTTAATTCAAATGCTGGTATATGGAGAGTGGTGGTCGCTGTGGAGAGGACATTTAAATAAAAATTGTACACATCTAGTTTATAATGTTTCAAGATAAGTATGCTTGTGTTGATATAAGATTAACGCATCCTGTCTGCCATTGCGGTAAAAAAAATTAGCTGCCTCAGCTTCAAAAGACTTAACAAAGGACTCCCAGTGAGAATAGAATCGCTCTGAAAACACTCAATGGGAACAGAGCTTTCACACACACCCATTCAATGCAGTGTTTCTGTGGTGTGCCAACTCACATGCCTATTACATAACAGGGCTCCTACTCCCAGGCCTAACACCCCTGACAAATCCATGCACGCTTTGCAGCACATGAGCTATTTATACACTGCACCCAAGACAGGGATGGTCAAAAATATCGCTCCAGTCAATTATTCATTGAGAAACATTCCAAAACAAGAGTGAAGAAGAGGTTTGACTGCACAAACATGGAGAGCGGGGATGACAGTAAATATGATCCATTTGCAATGCAGCAGGTTTTGTCCACAGTGGATCTAAAGAAGAGGGGCGGGCTT